GATCGTTTAATGCATTTATCATATTTGTATCTTTCATCGGGAGATATGAGGGTTACATGAGGGGAATAAATTTGATAACTATCGAGAAATGTTTTCAATTAAATTAAGAACACTGACCAACAAGAATTATTACAAATTGTCACTTTAATTTGTTGTTCTAAAAATGGAGTAAAAATAAGGATTCGACATCTTAGCAATATTTTCACATATTTGATAAAAAAAAACCCATCTAAATTGCTTTCTATTTTAATCGATAATTTTGATATTATTATAGAAAATTCAAAACCTATTTGCTATTCGATTAAGGTTGCTATTAATTGAAACTTGATTGAATACTTAGTCTTTGTATGTTCAACATTCTAAATACTTCTATATTACTTGTTCATGATTCCATTCACTTGTGAGAAATCAAACGATCACAATTCTTCTACATGCTTTTCATCGTCAACTTCTAAGGTCATATTTAAAGATCTCTGCAAGCATACTGATGTAACGAGTGTACTGGAAGTCGAGGATGTGAAAGTTAATAACTATCATGATTATTACTCATCTCCACTGAGGATACAAAAATACTCATCTCCACTGAGGATACAAAAATATGCTAATGAGAGAAACTCAAACAATTTTCATCGTTCTGTACTAGCGACAAGAATTCCAAATTAAAATATATCCTACAGTTGGCCTATATTTACAATGCTAAGAGTAGAGGTTTCTGAAATTTTAACAAATGAAGGGGGGGTCTATTATTGTCATTAACTTCAGGAGAGGTTTCTGAAATATGGTCTAACTTTTCCCTATTTGCAATTCCAACCCTTTTATTATTGGCTCTTTTGAATCAACTTTTTAACATAAAATTTGTGCTATCCAAATAATCAAGACTGTGGATACCGGCAACCTAAGTGCATTGTACTCTCGTACTTGGATTGCTTTATCAGAAATGAATCCTAGTATCTGTTTAAATATGGAGTCACTCGCTGGTTTGATTTTTGGAGTTCAAGGTAGCAAGTACTAGTGGAACTTCAGAAGTCGTAATTCACAGAGCTATGCGTCTACTTCAAAATGAAAAGGGATTTGGAAACTACGGCGTGATCAATAACTATTAACAACTACGAGGATTCCTCTCTTTACTGTAAAACAGGTCTTCTGGTTAATTATCAAAGAGTTGTAGGCAGGAGTGGTCAAGCCTCTACTGTCGAAGGTGCTTCTATTGCGGCCATTATTTTGTTAAGAAATATATGATTAT